ATAATAAAGAAACTTATTCAAGCAATTATAACAGTTATTAATAAGAATATCCTGAACTTATAACTATTATTATATATTAAATATTAGTTTACACCAGACCTTAAAATCTAATAAAAAATAATAAACTAAATATGATATAAATGGTAAGAGAGCTGCATAAAAATAGAATAGAATAATTCTTATACTAAACTACTTTTTAAGAAGATATACTAAAAGTACCAGACATAAACACGGGTAATTAAGAAAGCTAAAATTATATATTAAAAACAGTTTCTGGACAAAACAGGGAAAGAAAAGTTTTAGAAAATAATAATATATATACAGCCACATGAATTCTGAAGTAGTATTCTAGCTTTTAAAATTAATAACTACAGCATGACTGGAAATTAAAAGAAGGCTGAAGTATTTATAAATATATTCTTCTTAATAATGGCACCGGCCTAAAAAAAAATATTTATATAAATTCCAGCAGAACTTCTATGGCAACCAATCACAGAACTCAAAGTTTATAGATTCTTATAAACAGTAAAAAGCTTAATAGTATCCAGAGAGAATAAGCTCCTGATATTAATCTGGAAATAACTATAGAGATACCTTAGAAATCTTATTACATGAATTTTTATAGTATTAATTAACTTAGAGTACTACCCCCGAAAGTAGAAAAGCACCCGGATTGTAGTTCTATATAAGCCCAAGAAATTAGATTACTTAATCCTGAAAGTATACCAGCTGATCTCACTACTAAATATACTTAATAAATTACTTAAAATAATAATAATCCAGCAGCTGTTCTATTTCATAAAGTATTATAGACTTCTCCCGGATATCCAGTTTAGCAGATATCTAGAACAAACAACCGAGCAGGCCCTGTTAATATTAACTAATATAATTAATCAGATATAATATAGACAGAGAATAATTATCTTAATAATCTTTGATCTGAAGAGTATTTTTAATAATATAAATAAAATTAATCTTGATATTTATCTCCAAGTTAAAAATATTTCTAAGATTACTTAAAAATAAATTATAAGTTTCATGAATAATTAACAAGCCAGTATTAGATTTAATAACTACTGCTTTGAGGTAAAATCATTAAAAAATACTGGACTAGTACAAGGTTCTTTCTTATCTCTTATTCTATTTATATTTTTTAACAGTAATCTGGTGGACTAATTAATTAATTTTTATAGTAGTATATCAGTCTTTATCAATGATTACTCCCGTGGGCGGGTTAGATAATCTACTAAAGAAAACTTAGCTAAACTTTAATCTAAAAATATATCCCGGATTAAAGCCTGGATTCGAAAAACAGAATCAAGCTTTACTACTGAAAAGACTGAACTCATCTATATTATTAAAAAGAAAAGAGAATAATATCAAGGTCAAATCACTATAAATAATAATATTATTACTTTATCAATAACTGCAAAGCTCCTCGGCATTATTTTTAACTATAAATTATAATAAAAAAAATATGTATAATAAGCTGTCAAGTAAGCTATTAAAATTAATATAATAATTAAGAAGCTGTAACAGCTTTAGTTTAAACAGATATAATAATTATATAAAATATATATCACACCAGTTATTTAATATATATTAACTGTATGGCATGATCTACTGTAAAATAAAATATACTTAAGATAATTATATACCGTGTAGTATACAATACTTATTTATATTTTTTTTATTTTCTGAACAGTAGCCACATCTACTTTTAATATTAAAGCTTATATACTGCCTATCTCTCTTCGTCTATACCAGTATACTTAAATTATTATTACTCAACTCCACACATTACCACGGAAGTATCTAATCCGGGAAGTCCTGCTTCAAACCCAGAGATAATAAGATAATATTAAATTATATATCCAGTTTCTACTCGCGGAGGCTCTGAAAACCATAAATCTAGAAAGACTTAATAATCTGGAAATAATTAATCCAGCTTTATAACTACCATGGCAGACTGAAGCCTTTTCTAAAATTAATATTATAATTAATAAAGAAATAATAATAGAGCAGGCAGAGACAGCACAGTTTAAATTAGATTTTATAATATACTCTAATATCTCAGGGTGCCAAGGCCATCTGGATACTACAGCCGCAGTTCTTAATAACAGATTAATAATAACTGAAAACTTATAAATATAAATTAAATCTACAGACTAATAGTCAGTACATGCCGCCGAACTAATCAGTATTCTTTATATAATCAATCTTATTAATAAAACCGTGCTGTAACAGCGGAGAGCCAGCCAGAAATAAATAAAAATAATTACTATTCTCAGTAATAGTATATCAGCACTACTAGCTATTCAGAAACCCCGCAATAAATCAGATTAATAAAATATTTATATAATTCTTCAAGCAGCCAAGACTATAAGAATATATAATATTATAATTTAATTACAGTAGATTCCCAGACACAGCAAGATCCTCAGTAACAACACAGCTAAGCTTACCAAAAAAGCAGCCATACCTAGCAAGATACACCCATTTTCTCCCCTACTCTTGTGTGAAAGAGCATACATCAGGCAAGGAATCCTTACTTAATAAAAGAAAGAATAGAAAGAGTCCAGAAATAACAGCTATCTCTGGAAAATTAATAATATATTACCAGCAAAATACACCAGACAACTCTATAGAGCTCTGCCAAGAAATCAAGCATACCTTCTAACCCAGATATAATTAGGATATTGCTGGCTGCCCACATACAGAAAGTTGTTCAGCTTCTGTAATAATGACCGGTGCCTCTGCAGTGAACGGGAAAATATAATACACGTCATTCTAGATTGCCGACTAGTCTTTCAACAAGTCGCACCACAGGTGTGGGGAGGATTTGGCTGACATAATACGTCAAGAAAACGCGTCGTGTCGCGTGTCGCGTCAACGTGTTCCGCGTCACATTTCCAAGGTAACTGTCTCTACCCCCTTTTCCCCAAAGCTGGGGGAGCGCAGCCGGGGGAAGCGCAGATTGAAAAGGGAATGAAGTTGAAAAGGGAACGAAGTTCCCATCCCCAAACTAGAGCTCGCCAAAGCCCGCCCAAGCCCATGGGTACCCGCCAAGAACCCAACCCATGGGCGGGTTTGGGTCTTAGTCAGCAAACCATGGGTGGTGTTGAATATCACGGTGGCTGTGATGAGTATCATGGTGGCTGAACCTTATGGCAGGGATGGGACCACACATACATATGTGCTATCCCGCCCTTGTAAAAGATAACTCCTTAAGTAACAACAATCAATCAATCTATTCTCACCTCACCACGAAACCCAGGCTGGGTAACCCGTGGGCGGGTTCAGAAAATGAAAACCCAACCCAACCCGCGTTTTGGCCAGGTCTACCCCAGACTGGATAACCGCGTGAGTTGAGAGCACGGTCCAGAACCGACGACGTCGTCCCCACAAAGCGCACCGCTCATTTTCCCAAGGTCTGTCGCTTGGCGACTGTGCCTTTGACCGTATTGAGCAATACCAGAAGCATAAGGTCACATTGAGGGGCGGTGCTGTCAACTAGGATGGTCAGAATTATTCTATCAGCAGGTGGCCGGTCTGGATTTTTGCCCATGATGGGCAGCTGGAGATAATCATGGCATAACGTCTGCGCAAGGTAATTTCCAAGCTGTTCCATAATACCCCTACATTTTGCCCAGCTGCTTGCCCGACAGGATCGGCGTGATTTGACCAATGTTCCACCACTCTCGGCCCGCAGTCCTAACCCAGCGTTAAAACGGACCAGACAGAATATTTGGACACCCCACTGAGGCGGACTATCTCACCGCGACAGTACAAGGCGTTATAAAGGGTACGGGGGCTACAGGCAATTCTCCATTGTATCTGATTCTCGCTTGATGAAGAGTTCAGGGCCTTCACGCGAGGATTGTCTACACAAACATTATACATCGTACAATAGTGTATGTACAAATTCCACGAAGCTCAAGACTACAGCTACACATTGGGAGGCCGCTACAGGGCGAAGATCCAGAAGGCGCACTGTCCGCGAAAGGCTCTAATCATCTCATCGCACACTACACTCGAAAAAAGACGAAGATTTGCCTGATATGGTAATGATCAACCTGCAGCTGAGCGACGAGGTATCACCCTGCGAGTATGGGACCGTGGCAGCTGACTGTTATCTGTCTTATGAGGATCCCGAATTCCTGACTTGGAATGGGCCCAGAATCCTATCCCCGCTTACGCACCCCGAGGATGTCTTTCGGTATGCCTCTGCCATGCTGTCATACCCCGTCGATTGTTCAGAAATTCACCTTACGGTCGTTCATAAGTACACATTGGAATCAGTCGACGTCTTGCCATTCTTCCTTTGGCGCGTGGAATGCACCCCCTGCAACCTCGAACAGTGCCGCAAGCAGATCTGCCAAGTTATTCGTTCATACATGCGGGCCATCGATCACGCCGATTATTGGATTCGGATGTTTGTGTGGCCCAGGGACGAGCGGGAGCGGGACACCCTAAGGAGATCGGGGGTGTTTTCCGGGACAGATCCTAAAAGAATCCTTTGATCCCAAGCGTTTTGTTGAAAATTCTCTTGCGGGTTTTAGTACGGAGAGTAATACTGGGTTCCTTTTTAGCATGCGATTAATGGTTGGAGGGCCGATTCTAGACAGCCTGTATTGTTTTAAGGGTTCATTGTTTTCTTGCTTTATGGTATATATCTGTATCGCTTCCATGGACGAGGTCACCCGTCTTCTGGCCGTCCGACCACTCGGGTCAGGGAGTCCAGCCCCAGTTGTTCTGGGTTGTGGGCAGGCGAAATAGCCAGACTGCAAATAGTTTGACCAGTCCCTGGTTGGTCACCGTTTAGTACCACAAGGGCCGGCAGGGTTACACCCAACCCCTGGCCTGCCCGTGCCTAGACCTTTAGCCTCGATGTTACCTTCATATTTGGACTTGCGTTGGGTGGACCGTTTAACGCAGGACTGGCGCGTGGAGTCACCTTGCATTTGAGTCAACGAGACAGCCAGCCTTTATAAAGCGTCATGTGCGTCCTCGGCTGGGGTCTCTCGCTTTCGGGGTATACGCACACTCTCACCGAAATTTCATCTCTTCTGCGTCACCCATATCCTCAGCGAACAATGAAAACCCACCTGCCACAACTGAACGAGCTCCGGAAAGTACTGGCATCAGCTGAGAGAAAGCCCCATTCCGGTATCTGGTCGACTGCCTCACACATCACAGAATCGGCCCCGCCAGATGACAGGAAATCGAAATCCCAGACCGCCTCGGGCGAGGGCATGCAAATCCATGAAAAGGACCAAAGCGAGAGGGATGGAGTGTGCGAGACCGACAGTGTGGCCGCGACCAGCTTCCCGACCATCCCATTGACGTGGCCAGTCAGAGGACGCTCATGTCGCTGCTTTGTGAGTATGTCCCGTCCTATGATGTTTTAAGCCCGCTGCTACTTCCTTCGAACGCTGCTGATCTATATCTTCAACTCTTGAAACCAGATTCCGGTAGGTTTTAGTTCCATTGCGCGGTAGCGCAATGTTCAACGTGACCTCGAGCTGATGTCGAGCTATAGAAATTTGGAGGAAAATGGGAGGGCCCAAGAGACGGGAAATCACCATCTGCACAAAAGAGTGAGCGGCATCTTTGAGAGGGTTCCGACCCCTCACAGAAGAACCCGCCGTTCAGCTCCGTACATGGAGATGGAGTTGGAATGGATGCCGCCGCGCGAAGGAGAAGGGAATGGAACGTTTTACATAAGAAGCCGGGAATATACCCATGGAATGGTCGGAGTTACATCGCCCGGAACTACTGTCTTGTGCCAAGCCTATCCGGTAGAAAATAAGATTTGTACGATACTAAGAGTATATAGCTATCTTCTTTTGGGAGAGAATGTTGGTGCTGGCTGCTGCAGGGCAATATATGTCTGTCGATCCTCAGGTAAAGGAATAAGTTGTTCTAAACAAACTTCCACCCTTTGCTGCATCGGGTTCGCCAGTAGCGCTGGAGTTTTGGACGAATCGGCTGCGCAGTTGATCATTCTGACTTCAGTGATTCGGTAAAGTGGGTCCGCGAGTCAAAGACGCGAACATGTGTTACCAACATGTGTCGTGCCCTCTTTCTCCTGCACCTCCCCAGCCTTTGAGCCCATGGGAGCTACACCGTGAGTTTAGTTAACTTGTCAGAAAGGTGATCGGCACATCCTGGTGTGACGTGGGAGGCAGATCACGTTGCGGCTGCCTCTCGACTCCCAGGGCTCGCTTTTACGTTGCAGGAGCTGATGGGGCTATGTATGGGATCTGTCTTCGAGTATGGACTAAGGGATTTAGAGGCAGATTTATATACAGTGATCTACCCCATCCGTTCACAGCCCTGTCAGCTCCACGAACGTCTATGGAAGCCCCTTTGAACGCTATTACTCCTATAACCTTTAACCGTCCCCATAGGCCAATTTTGGGTCTCCGAGGACGACTGGACTGTCCCTGGATTCGAAGTCAGGGATCCGAACAAGAAGGAGTCAGGAACGAATCGCGAGGATACGAGTAATTGCATAAAAGCTGAAATGAGAGCACAACGACAAGATGACACTGAGATGTATTTGACCACTAAGACTGTTGAATGATCATCCTAGGAAAGGTCACGGCTATCAACCCAACAGCCAGTATCATAACGGTTTTATCGCAACTGCACATGTCGTCGAGAACATAATTCTGGTTGATGATACTAACGACTCGTATCAATTTCAACGTAAAAGTTGTCTACATCATATTCGATTGGTATGCTTCATTGCAGTGGCCAACGATCAACTATGCTCCCACAATTTTCTCAAGAAGGGATAAATAAGCTGGTATGGACTTTAAGAGCCGTTCTTCCTGTTAATAAATGAACGATAGAAAACAGAGAACTAGCCGGCGTGCAACATATATCGGGAAATCTTAGCACTTCGAAGATCGTGCTCGGCCCTCAGTGTCAGCTGCACTAGCTAGGAAGGAGGCGAAATTATCAAGCATTGTGTGCAGAATATTATTGTACTGTTGAAAGATTAGAATAGACTATTGACCGTACTTCGGCCGACCTCTCACCTTGGCTGACACGATATCTTCATCATCTGGTGTCTCAAATTTCATATTTCGAAGTGCACTCCAGGTATCAGCACTGAATCCTTTGACTTTTGCCCAGCTATAGCCCTGAGAAATGATAGCTTGGCTTTCACCGTAAAAATCCATAAAACCTTTCATCAAATACTCGGTTTTCCACAGAGGGCAGAACTGGTCATAGCTACTGTAAGCATTCTGCTGTAGAAAGTCTTCTTCAACCAGTGAAGCCACATCAAGTATAATTTTTTCGTGGTCGTTAAGTGCAGTCTTACCGACCAGTTGGACGAACTGTTTCAGATCGTCATAGATAGAAGCTGTTTCATCTTAGTTCTCAGTTGTGGAAAGCCAGGCCTGTACTTTTCATAGTATTCATCCAAGGCCGCAGGGTATTTACTATACGATAATGAAACGTTGACTGACGGAAAATGCTTCCTTTGTGCGAGAGTTTTGTCCAGACCCCAAAAGACCTGAACAATACCGAGAGTACAGCTAGTGACGGGATCTGAAAAATCCCCACCAGGAGGGCTCACTACACCGATAATACTGAGGCTACCATTCCTTTCTGCACGGCCGATAGCCACGACCCGTCCTGCACGTTCATAGAAAGAAGCTAGCTTGGAACCTAGGTAGACAAGGAACCCTTGATCTGCAGTCATTTCCCCCAGTCAACCATAATTCTCACGTAAGGCTTCGGCCCAGCAAGAGGTAGAATCCGCCAACAACGTTACATTTTTGCCTTGGTCACGGAAATACTCTGAGATAGTGATACCCGTGTAGATTGAAACTTCGCAGGCGGCCACGGGCATGTTGGAGGTGTTGGCGATTAGACAAGTTCGCTTCATTATAGGCTCTGTTCGGCCACCAATATTTATGGACAACTAAGCTTCGAGTCAGATTTGCAATCCTTAAAAGTCCGGTCCGGTACGCTATACTTGACGTACTTGAGGAAACTCCATCAAGACCTCGGCCATTTCATTACCACGCTCACCGCATCCAACATAGATAATTACATCGCTGTTTGAGAATTTGGGAATACTTTAGCTGATGACAGTCTTACCACTTCCAAACGCACCGGGAATATATACTGTACCGCCCTGTGCGCATGGAAAGAGAGCATCAAGAACTCTCTGCCCAGTGAGAAAAGGGGAGTCACAGCATAAGTTTTCAGTGGCGGGTCGAGGAATGCGTACCGGCCAAATATGCATCATGCTGTATACTATTTCGTTACCATCAAACTCAACTGCCAGAAGCTTCTCAATGATGGTGTAGCTAAATGGCCCTACTATTCGCGTTATTCTTCCCCTTGCACGCGGAGGCAGCATGATCTTATAATCATCAAGCAAATTGTTTTCAAACACACTTCCCCAGATATCACCACCAGCGATGTAGTCTCCAATTTTGAAATTTCCTGGCTTGAAGTTCCAGACTTTTTCGCGGTTGAGTGCAGGGACATCAATTCCACGTGGGATGTAGATGCTTCTTATCAGGTATAAAATAGCTTCCAGTGGCCTTTGGGTTCCATCGTAGATGGTCCCCATCAGTCCAGGCCCAAGTTCGACGGTCAAAGGCTGTCCTGTACCGGTGACAGGATCACCAACTGCTACACCAGCTGCGGTTCCGGCCGTGCAACATCAGCGGCTGCAGGTGAGTAACGAACCGGAACTCGATTTGCCAATTTGGTAAAATGCTGACGTCGTCACCCAGCTGATTCTTTTGCCAGAGCCGAAGAAACGGAAGCGGGATCAATGTCAACAGAACTACGACAGTGAGGCTATACAAAATCAGAACAGGTCATTGGTTGGCATGGGAGGTAAAAATGGATTTGGCCTGCGCTAGACTCCACGTCAGACCGAAGCCAACCTCTCATATTACCGGAATGAGTTTTAGATCGCATTTGAATACACAGAGACCGCCCTAATCACTGGCCCCCTAGTATTCTCAAAATCAAAAACCTGAGCATGATCCAACTGTTCATACCACAGCAGCTCAAGTCCGTGTCCAACCCAGGGCCTGTTTTTCCATGCTTGTGCTGCGTCTTTGTCAACTGTCCAGGCTCCTGAGGACGAACCCATCAAGTACTGCCCCACCGTTTCGGCATCCACAATCAAATCCTTACCACTTAAAACAACTGTAACGTTTCTGTCCTCCTCTTGATTATTGTCGCCCTTTATCCTGAGGTCCTCCTTCCAAATGATGTTGTCAACCCAAGAAAATCTCCTTGCCAACGCATGCGCAACTCCAATGTCTTTACTTCCGAAATACCATAGCTGGTATTCGTTCGCCCGTGCTGGCCGTCGGGCTATGAAATTGTATGCCACGTCAGGCAGGTGGAGGAGGAATGATACTGGATCGATAAAGACCATTGGTCCGATTAGCGGAGCAGACTGGTCGGATTTAAGGAGGTTTGCGGCGATTATGGAGCCATAAGAATGAGACACGAGCACGAAGCGGCTCCACCCATGATACCGTATAATCTCCATGATCTCATGTATCATCACATCTTTTTCCAGAGCCGGATGGGTTATTCGGGAGCTTATCGGCATGATCTCAAGTGCGATGATGCCAACCTCATTATCGTCGGTTGCTCCCCTCTCTAGCTCTTTATCGAGGTCCCGGAGGAAGCTCGTATAAGGGTACAGCCCAACTCCGATACCATGTATGAATAGTACGGGTAGCCGGGTCCTGGATGTATGCCGTCGATGCCAATATGTGAGGTGCCGCGCCGGTGATCGGTAGGTCGTGAGTATCGTGGGAGGGCGAAATGGAAAGACGGTAAAGAATCGCGAGAGGGAGTTGCGATGAAAGTGAAACCCACTGTATAACATCTTGCAATACATCATTGTGTCAACCACAAAGATGCACTAAAGTCAATCCAAATGTCAGCTTGATGGGACTCTACACACATAGAAAGGAGGTTGCTGACAGTGTACCATAATAGACTCCTATGTGAACCGCCCGCTTCATTTAGAAGCTGTCCAAGGCTTTTAACGTCCATTCTTCCCGGTGGCAGTTCTCGTCCAGTCAGCTTCTCAATTTCGGTTACATAGGTCTCGACTTCCCCCTCGTTCTGCTGGTCCCGCTCCTGCACATATCCAGGTGTGAAGAACGCCCATCTGATAAAGTCTTTCACGTTATCGCGTCTAATATATTCAGCCTCTGAGACCATAAGCCACCGGCTAAGATATCTCTCCAGATTTGGCACATTCGCATGACAACTCTCAAATAGTTGCTCTCTGCACGCCGTAGATATATACCTGTGGTATATAGGCGAGCGGTCGAGAGCGTATTTAACGGGTACGAATACAGCCGTGAAAAAGATTGCCTCTGCAGTGAGCCAGATTTGAATTGGGTAGGGTATGATTTCGACATAAGTCGGTAGATGAAAGAATTGAGCAAGGAGTAACTGAATGCAGTACAAAGCACTGATTGGCGCAATGTTGTGAAGAAACAGGATGCAAATGCGCATGAAGAAGTACTCAGCAGGAGATGTTCCGATCATGGTGGTCCGAATGAATAGTTTGAGGGTAAAGAAAAACTGATAATGAGCAAGATATCCGTCTATAATACATTCATTGATAAATTTGATTGCTGGATTAGGTAACGCCTCCCCAACAAGTTATCATTTGGTCTTTGGAATATCCTCTGACTTAGCAAACAAGACAACACGGTACTGGCATGTGATCACATACATATGACGTAATGTAGAAAGTCAACTTCTTCCGGGTAGGTAGACATTCATTCGACAGCACAAATGTCGCAGTATGCGTAGGGTCGAGTCATGAGTCATGACAACCAAACTTTAACACCCCGTTGTTGGTCCACCCTGCTCACCGGCAGATTTTCACTTTCTATTAAACCCGTTGGGCAAGATCGAAAAAAGGCTCTTCTATATGGTACTCAACGTACCGGATTTTACGATTTTCGATGGACTACTTGATGCTATACCTGATAAACAACTATGCCTACTCCCGGAGAGATCCGGCGAATGTCGGTGGATCTCCCCAAAGAAGATACATATATCGTTACCAGTGCCATAACTATTGACGCACCTCTGGATTTTGTCTGGCAGAACCTGCCCAAAAATATCGATTTCAGCCAAGTGATGCAGCCTTATCGCTGGTTGCCGGGGGCACGGTCATGGGAGACATCCGAAAACTTCAACGAAACGGGCTCCAATATCAAGTATACTATGACAGACAACAGTAAGATTGAGGAGATCGTCATTAAGCGAGATGCATCCTCTCACCACTACGTCTATGCCTGCTTGCCGCCGATAACGGGTTTTGATTTCTGGCAAGGTAACTTGTTCTATGAAGATGCCGGAAACGGAAAGACGACTGTGGTCTGGCGGTACTGGCTGAAGCCAAATGACAACTTTCTCAGCAAAATTGTCGTTGCACGCCTTCTCAAACTCTTTATTTGGAAAGGTTACACTGCTAAGGTCGCCTCGGGTATGAAGTCTGAAATCGAGAGATTATATAACCGCACAAATAAATGAATGCTCTTGATTTTACCCTTCATCAACTATCACAAATATTATGTCAGGATTCCGTATCCCATTTTGCCCTTGTACACTAGATTCCAGTGTTATCCAAGTTCCCAGCGAGCTCCTTGACCCTGATCTCGGAAACCCAGCAGCTATCCGTTGTTAACCATCAGCCGCATTATCAGCTAGAAATATATTCATCTTCCCACGACCGAACGCGCTTCATCTTCGATTTCCTTGGTACCTGTTAGCAGGGTGAAATTGACCATTCTAGGTCCTTCTCTGCTAGTCCAAAGGAAAAGGGGTTCAGCGAAATTCTCATCCCGCCAACACATCGTGCAACTCGCACGGACGCTCTACTGCATTTTTTAGCTCCTCAACTAATTGACAGATGTCCGTCCCTTCAAATATCGCGACAGAGCAGTGAGGCAAGGTGTGAAAAGCAAAAACAGAGTTTGCCACGGTGAAAGCAAAGAAGTATATCAAAGCTCTTAGGTTCAGGAAGATCGAGTAGGCGCCCCGGAATAACTGCAACTTGCGTTCGTATTGGGCTTACATCGTCCTGGCCCATCATTGCTTCAGCTGTTCCGGCATGGACCCATCAACCATGTATACTAAGGACCAAAAGTTGGGAGACGGGCAAATTCGTCCTTTGAACATCTTCGAATGGACCAGATGATCTTTCATCCACCATTCGGTATCCACGCGATGAGATTTTTGAATTCTATGCTGTGTTACTCGATTCTCATTCCCAATTTGGCTGCAATCACCACTTTACTTCGTGCGAAAAGGGAATATCAAACTTGTATAGGAATCAGGCACCGGGGAGTTTGACTATAATACTTTTATTCTGGAGATACATAACATGAAAGCAAGGGTTTTCCTTTTTTTGTTCTTTTTTTTTTTTTTTGCCTGTCTTCCAGTTCTGGTTGAGACTTAATAGTTGGGAATTTGGACCTATATGCATTTGACAGCGAAGTCAACCGAAATCCGATTCTCATTTGAGCATGGCAGTTTCAGATGTGGCAGTGAGATGAGAAGTCTTCCTCGCTATATTGAAATAATGCACTCACTTCAGCCTACACAAAGCAGCCGTCTCTATTATAATAATAAGTACCAGCCACACCTTATATTCCCAGCCCTCTGAGAAACTGGCGTTGGCATCCTGTCCCATTCCTTTAACAAAAACACCCTTACGCCGCGGTACATGCTCTAGGTTTCTTGGATATCTACTGTATGACAATTACGAGCCTTTATCGCAAACGGATTTGAAATACATCGCGCAGTGCTTAGTCTCAATTGGGAAATCACGTACGAATGACAGTTAATAAGGTGGCAATTATGCTGCGCAAAATAACCATGAAAAAATTAGTGCCGTGGATTCTAAGATCTAAATTGTGTTAAGCATGAAATCGGATCCTGGGCACTTTAATATCGATATTTAGATATTGCTAGGATTCAGCTCCAACTCGGTTACGCCTGAGTCCCCTTTTTGGATTATTTTACTATCTTACTTTAGTTGACCCTTAATTCTGTGGTGTTTGGTCAAGTACCATTGCTAGATCCGAGGGACACGACCTTTGCTTTGGGCGATAGCAGTAATTGCAACGCGTACCCTGACTGATTCGAGCTATATCTCCCCAGCTAATGTCCTGTCCAAGAACCTGTGCAAGATATTACCCCTTGGTTTGGAGTATTAAAGAGTACATTCAGCTAACTATTACGCAATTCATAGAATAGTAAAGGAAAGTAAATCAAAGACCCAAAGAACTTTCGCTAAGTAGAGCTCCCGTTAGCTCAAGGAAAGGCTCTATTGAACGCAATAATTATGTCCTTAATTTGAGCTTCTAGGTTACGGCTCAGCTCGCCATCCTTTTCGATTTTGGCGAGAACCTCAGGCTCAGACTCTTTAAAATGGGCGAGAATGTTAGTTTCCCAGCGTTGGATTTGGCTGATGGATATTCCGTCAATAAGACCATTGATCCCAGCATACAGCAAGGGAACCATCTCATTGACAGCCATCGGAGCGTACTGCTTTTGTTTCAGCAGTTCTGCCAAATGCTCACCACGTCTGAGAGTTTGCTTGGTGGCAGCATCAAGGTCTGATCCGAACTGAGAAAACGCAGCAATCTCGCGGTACTGTGCTAAATATAGCTTGAGTGAGCTAGCTACTTGTTTCATAGCTCTAACCTGGGCCGCAGAGCCAACCCGAGAAACGGATAGTCCAACGTTAATTGCAGGACGGACGCCTCTATTAAAGAGTTCAGCTTCTAGATATATCTGCCCATCCGTAATGGAGATGACGTTCGTAGGAATGTACGCCGATACATCGCCGGCTTGTGTCTCGATAATAGGAAGAGCAGTGAGTGAGCCACCTCCTTTTTTATCATTCAACTTTGCTGCACGTTCCAAGAGGCGAGAATGGAGGTAAAAAACATCTCCGGGGTAAGCTTCACGTCCAGGGGGGCGACGAAGCAACAGCGACATCTGACGATAGGCAACTGCATGCTTTGACAGATCGTCATAGATAATAATGGCGTGCCGACCATTATCTCGGAACCACTCCCCCATAGCACAGCCGGCGAAAGGGGCAAGATATTGCAGAGGAGCAGCTTCAGACGCCGTTGCAGCCACAATGACGGAATATTTCATAGCATCGTTTTCTTCCAGGGTCTTGACTAACTGAGCTACCGTGGACCGCTTCTGTCCGACAGCCACGTAAATGCAGTATAACTTTTTGGATTCATCACTTTGGTTATTCCATAGTTTTTGATTCAAAATCGTGTCCAGGGCGATAGCGGTCTTTCCCGTCTGTCGGTCACCGATAATCAGTTCACGTTGGCCTCTGCCAATAGGCACCAAGGCATCGATGGCCTTTAGACCAGTTTGGACAGGCTGATTGACGGAACGGCGAGGCAGAATACCAGGAGCTTTGATGTGGGCACGACTCCTTTCGGTGGTGTCAATGGGTCCCTTTCCATCAATAGGGTTTCCCAGTGCGTCAACCACCCGTCCTAGCATATTAGGACCAACCGGAACATCCACAATTTCGCCGGTTCGCCAGACAGGGTCACTCTGTTTAACCAGACGATCAGAACCAAAAAGAACAATACCGACATGACTGGACTCCAAGTTCATACACATCCCCTTGACTCCAGATTCAAATTCAACAAGTTCTTCAGCTTGAACGTTCGTCAACCCACGCGCGCGAACAATACCATCACAGACAGACAGGACATGGCCAGACTCAGCAAGGTTAGGTGAGCCTTGAATCCCGTTTATCCTCTGCTCGAGCAGCGATGATATTTCGGTAGATGGGCGTTCGGCAGCTTGACCAGATGAAATTGATTGCGTCCAGCGAGTGACCAGTAGGCCAGTAGAACAGGAAGTTGATCTGCCTCTTTTGGGAATCACGGTAGCAGCGGTCGGTCGATTAAGTGACTGCAAAGTATATTTAAACATCGCTGAATGGAAAGACTTGAGGTTTCAAAGAAAAAAAAAAAAAAAAAAAAAAAAAAAAAAAAAGGTATATTTCGAGATGGGAGACACACATCATGTATGCCAGTATTCTCAGTCACCAGATAATTGGTGTCATTATGACGGCCAGCCGAGGAGCTGGTAGCTTTACAGCCTTACCACGGTTCTGTATGCGCCCATTCAGACAGAAGGTGTTACGGCCGACGTCTCATGTGGTAAGAGATACTCCCCCGGTAATGGAATGCTAACCAGGTAATTACGAAACGATACCCAAGGGCAAGGCAGCAAGTTGCTGCCTTGCCATCCTGCTTGGGCACCCATTGGTTACCCGGAAACCTGATAACCCAAAATGTAGAGTATCACTGTTGAGTATCACAGTAGCTGTGTTGAGCATCATGGTGGCTGATGCTGAACCTTTCGACAGGGATTGGAATCATATATACATCCCGCCCCTGTAAAAGATAACTAGGTGGTTAAGTCAACCAGAATCAACCTATTATCACTTTAACATAATCCATGTATGGGCTCGGAAAATGAAAACCCAACCCAACCCGCGCTTTGGCGAGGTCTAAGTAAGTCGGTAAGTAAGCACATTGCCAGCATCATTCCAACAATCGTTGTCTTTTTCATGTCAGAGCACGCGTGGTATTATTCGCCTGGGGAGCCAATTGGGTTGATCATTTTGTTGATGTTCAGCCGGGGGTCGCCCGCGAGAGAGTAGTATATCGGGATATCTCCATTTCCTTTCGCATATCAAAGAGCAGTCCAACTGTTTTCATCCTTCAACTTCGGATCTATGTCGTACCTTGCCAATACCGTATTGACAAGTAAACGGTTCATCGACGGCATTATCCTTGCCCTTGAGTCTGTGAGACTGGGTGCGCACGTAGCTGTCTCTATAGTAATTCGATGTTTGCGTGCTGTATCCTGGCTGTACTGACATCTACGAGGTGGCATAATGGGCAACGACAGCAAGAGGGGATCGTGCGGTAACGTTTTACGGCAGTTGCATAACCTGAGGAAATAAAGGTATATGGGAGTAAATATAAAAACGACCCACTATCTATCAGGGAGATGAAGTTAGCCTCACTAGTATTTAAAAACTTTATTGATTTCCTGTATTGGGCTCAAGAGCACGTGTGACTATTTGTCATAGATATGACAAGCACATGTCCCTTTTTGATATGGACCTGCTTATATAATTGCATTTTAAAGACGTGATCACAATGGCCAATGCCTTTCTGAGAAGGCAATAGAGGATAGTCTGAGATGTCATAAGTTGACAAGATATTTCGGCAGGGTCGCTGCTGGGAGATTGAAGAAGATGGAGGTAAGAATTGCTAGAAGACGGCCTTTCTTCGCGATGTAGATCTGCATTCTTTAAATCAACGATCCAGGAACGGCAATTTCGGGGGGCGAAGAATGGCCCTTATGATGGGTTGTGCACGCCCCGATCCAGGCTAACACAGTCTAGATAATCGGTCCCTGCAGTCGTCAAGCAGGGCTTAAATCACTCGGAAAAGCACGTGGTAATTAGGTCTAATGTTCTCCTACAAACTTTCTTCTCCAGTCAGTTATATATCTACGAATATCCCCCGGACCATGGACGCAATAATATACCTTGAACCCATGTTTCATTGTTCGGGAGCCAAGGGTATGACTGCAAAGTGCAGTTTTTTTTCGTAAAATAATTCTCGACGTATCGTACGACCTTTGAGGGGGTACGTTTGTGCCATGGCCACTATTCGTTTGTGAACCTTGATCTTGTAAACGCTTTGAAGAATGGCTGTCAGTAGAGAGAAATTCAGAAACCGAAAGCAGAGGAATTTAGTAACTATCGGGGTAGAATCCTCCAGTGACGGCTTAACGGATGGTTACGGTTCTAAAACCGCAGGACGTTTCCAGAGGTACTTGTAAATCATTTTCATGTTTCTCTTTCGGAATAATGACCTGAGTTTCTCTGTTCTCATCAAGCCCATGCTGCCTTGGTGTATCTTCGCTGTGCGTGGAGCTACCGTGGCCAATTTGGCTAACAACGACAACAGTAATGAAAATCCGCATACCTGTACGAAAGCTCTCGTCGCGATTTTGTAGTTTGAAAACCGCCTTGCAGTAATTGGAGAACCTGAATAATTCAACAACATGGTAATTTGCCACAAATCCATGCTCCTTGGTATGCCGTTACACATGAAGCATACCTTACCTTGCCTGATCTCTCTAGTTGACGTTCATCATGTTCCCTTAATTAAATGCCTTTCGTATTGAAACGAACCGTATCCGCTGAGTTCTATCGAAGCGTGAGGAAGGTTAATGATTATCTGTACTATAAATATGTATGCAAGAGGATGAAATGTCTGTCGTTCTCTGTCAATCCCGTTTGCATCGATTCACACATATACTATTTCGAAGTCGACCCACGGATCAACTTCTCATGTTTTCGAGTTGTTTTTCTTTCTCTACGACTCCTCGAATCTTGTTGGCATGGCCTGCAAATAAGGTCCGTTGATAGATGTTCTACTTCTCATTGTTATTGGCACCTCTTTGAGGGTCTAGCTAAGAAATGCATGTTGAAATCATTGCTATTGCCACCGTTTCTCCAGGTGACGAAGTAGCTTCCGTGGGAGCCGCTTGTTGTAGTGAGTGCCGTTCCCTGGAAATGCCTCATTATGTGGTTGTGCAGCACCCTCCTAAGTTGCTCATCTATGACTCTCGCTTACATACAGAAAATCGGGTTCCTAAGGGCTTGGCGTTTGACGATGATTCCGTAATAAAGTCGTCACGCTCGCGATTGGTGATTAACTAACTTCCACAAAACAATTACGTCATATTAGTCGCGCAGAAACATGGGGAGACAATGTTGTGATCGCGAACATTTAGTGTTGCGTGTAAAGTGATGGAAGCAAATCGATCACTCTTTGAATCCAAGTCTACATAAAGTGAGACAGAGGACACGTTAGCCGACAGGCTAATCAGGCGTTCTAGTACGCTTTTCCACTTCGGTAATACAGGCGTCAACTGTCGGCATGGATGTTCCACCAGAAGCTCTCCCTTTTTGCGATTTGGTAGGATGTGGTATTACTCTTTTCCCTGGTACTGTTAACCTCTAATTCTATCATTATTTTGAGATTCTAATGGGCACCAGGTTCAAACATATTCAACTGCCGACAGATCCTTGAGGCCTCTGAAAAAAATCATCTTCTGCGCCTCGGATCTCACACCAAAACAACCCAATTTTTCGGTTAAAAACAAGTGTATTCAATCCCTGAATATATGTCTGTAGTCGACGGTGACCTATCCTCCATCGCCGAGGATTTGATTTGCGATAATGGAGCAAATTTGTCGAAGGAATTGACTGGAAAGCCATACCTAAGCCAGCGTTACTTGGGAGTCTCGATGGCAGACGATGGAAAGGCCGGAAGTGTGCCATCACTTGACTCCACAACCCTATTCGGCCTCTGGAGTACCAGCCGGACCCTCTGTGTTATCCGTTACGAAACCCCGGGCCTCCAAAGACACTTTCAATGTTGACTTCATTGTGGCGGCAAAGAGGCTTCCTCCGTGGGAGGAGAATAATCCTTCAGTACGAGGCACATTCGCCGAATTCTTCGCAAGATGGGGCACGGACATTGCTCTGGGTTACTCTCTCGGTGCAAGGTATCAATTACAAATCACAAGACCAGACGCATCTAGCGAATCGAAGAATAACTTTCGCACACACATTGATACGGAATTTGCACCAATTATTGGGAAGGATGAGGGGCCGAAGGATACAACCCAGTACAGGGAATATTTAGGACGACTTGATAGAGGATTTTGCGTCTTGGGAGGACATCCACAAATCGCAGATGCTCTGGCTCGGAACCCGACCGAGCGTAGGCTATTCGATAATTGGTTAAGGAGCATAGATTTGGGGGAGCAGAACGACATCATCAACAATCAAGTTGGAAATATCTGCAATCTCTTCACCGGAAGTCCCATTCAAGAATACATGCTTATAGGAAAGAAACTCGAACTGGCCTGGAAGTTCCACTCAAGGCTTCTTACCGCTACCGGTATATTTAAGGTAATGGAATCAGTGGAGCAACAGATCGGGTGAGTTGGTGTGGAATTCGGGGTGTCCCTGGTACCAGCATGCATGCGACTGCTCGTCCAGGGAGTGTCATCTTAGAAAATACGCGGACTATGTTTAACGTCCGGAGCTCATCTGGTGACCAGGCTGAGTGCGATATTATTCTGAGTGCCCCTCCCGCAACTCCCCTTGAGGTAACCCTAGTACCATCCAAGGAGGGAATATTTCTCGAAAATCCTTTTGTATTTGACTTACGCTTACAGCTTTATCCTGAGGGTCTGTTAGGAGCTATAACAATAATCTTGGGCGATAAAGTGAACGAAGGGAAAGTCACTATACCGAACTTGGCCGCAATAGGTGATTATACCGCAGAATGATCATGAATTGATACATACACGAGGATGAGAAACCCAAATGGATGTTGAGCTTGAAGCGATGAATCTACAAATGAGGATTCAAGTTTGCATGCAGATTTGTGATGATGAGGAGCTATATTGTATGCATAATCTTTATGAGTAATTTCTATCAGAATCGCAACCGAAAGGACACAAGTACATACTAGATAGCTGACCAAAACGCCAGCGGCGACCGGCGACCCAGGCACTGCACTACAAATACTCGAGCTCCACTTGCTCAGGAACAACGGTATAGGACGCTCAGCAAGATTTGAAACTCTGATGAATGGAAGAAAGACATCAGAAATATATTCGCACCATTGCTATGGCGGAGGGACGCTATGGATGCAAGAGGTTGACTATCTGAAACGGCTATGAAGAAAACCATTAGCGAAGGTTGATCTACAGTATCAGATAAATAGGAAGGCAATGCTCTTCTTCAGTAATTGCTAAGTCTCGGGGTTGAGATCTGATATACCGGCAGTTGAATATCCGAGTCAAAAGAAGGGTTATGAACCGTAGAATGCTAGACCCATGAAGTCCTGTACAGTACTGTCGGGGTACGGTGGACAACCACGCCGAACCGTGGCTTAACTAGTTTCGTGTTGTTCCCCAGCTTGTCTAGCCATTCGACGTTGTTGCGGGCTGCTTCCGCCGACTCTACATTCTCGAATCGGATCACATATCCCGTTTTGGTGGTGCCCACCCCGGAAACCTGGACTTCCTGTGTCGACGGTGCGTTCAACAGCGCCGCGCGGATATGAGCGTTCGCAGACTCTGTTGAGAGGTACCGGCCCAAGATGTTTCATTTTCGTTGCCTCTCAGGTCCAGAAAGGAGCGCTGGGTGCTAATTCGGACGCAATTCTGATCCTTGTCCGTTTCTGGAACGATGCCTTCAAGATCTGGAATTGGTCCTTAGAAGTGAACCCTCTCCCCGCTGCGGCATCTCAATTTCGATGGAGATGTCATGGCAATGCAGCCAGGCAGCAATATCCTTACCTGAGCTGTGGATCGGCAACCGTAATTTAGGGTTCCAGTGAAAGGGGTGAGTCAGCGAGAATCTCGGGGCTTTTTCAAAATTTTTCGCGGGGAAATTTTAAACCAGGCGCCACCCAGCCCATACATTTCCCAACCTCATACTCACTTCCCAAGATGTTAAGGATGCAATATATCTCGGACCGCGTACCGCGCCTGGGCAGGGGTCTTGAATAGCCTTCACTTACACCTACAAAAGAGTCTCATCGTCAAAAGTTCTCTCGCCTGCCTCTCACTTCATTCGATCTTGATTTTGGCACCGGGTTTGAGCTTTAATTCTCTGCCTTTATAGTATTTTCCGGCGGTTGTCCGGGTCAGGGTCAACAAGACACGTAGTCTGACTCCACCGGGCTTTGATTGTTATTGTACTCGGTCGTCCAGTCATCAATCTCTCTCGTAAGCTACGATACGATCACGGCATGGGTTGAGATCCGAGGTTTCTTGCAAATCGAATTTCCAAGCCTTGTGCTAGGTACGGAATTATCAGTGCTATGGGCCAGGAACAATGCATCGGCGTCAGGTCAAGCTAGAGACGTGGCCTCAAATCCTGGCATTAATATGTCTTCCCGTCGCATCCAGCTTGCATTCTTCAGATGTTACAACGAATGGCTACACAGACCGTCGCTCCAGGAATGTATTATTTCGGTAGCCTCCAGCTTTACACGCCAACGTCCTAATTACACCTTTGAGATTCTCATGCAGTGTCACTGAGCCTGGTGAATGGGTATATCAAACGAAACGCTACTTGTAGGCAACTGGTTTATAAACATGGTATATGCCGTCAAAGCGACGACGCACGCCGATTCCAGTGCACATGTATACCACTCTCTGCCCCAAGAACCGGATCCAGATCTGCATTTCTCACCCTCCACACCTCCTCATACGCGCCAACATGCTGCCCGCCCTCCGCCCACCCCCAGCTCATCCCCCTGGGATACGCGCCCGTCATTGTGAAACCCTGCACCTGTAATTGCCCAACAAAACTCCTCGGATCATCCGCCTCAATATTATGCGCCCCTCCACCGGTCAACACGTCGGATCAAGATCCTTGGCTCTGCGATCAAAAGATTTATGCGTCACTCCAGCCGGGATAACAAACAAATCCCCTGCCTCAACCTCTAAGAACACACTCCCGTCTTCAAAATGCGTCCCCGGAGTCCCGTAGGTATGCTTCTGGGGATCATCTGTGAGATCCGTGGTACCCCATCTGATCGTTCCCGGGCCTGAGAGGACGACCATAACCTCGTGCGTGGCCGGATGGTAGCGCGACCGCTGAGTGTTGCCGTAGGTGGTGACCCATTGCACGTCCCAGCCGTTCTTGGTGAATGTGTCGTAGGCGAGGGTGATGTCGACGTTGCCGTTGCGGAGGAAGCAGTTCTTGTAAAGGAGGAGGGGTTTCGGGGAGTTAGGGACTAGCGGGGTCGGTTTGATGTTGTAGGGGATTATTGTTGGTGTTGATTGAGAAGTGGCCATTGTGACTGAAGTTGGAATGTTAACGCGTGTGCAGTAGTGGGAGTTCTTCGCGAAGTTGGATTCTTGGGAAAGGTGTTAAGTGTTATTTGAGGTCAAGCGTGGCTATCTCAGCTATGACGTTTACCCCGCATCTTCTGGTGTGTCGGGATGCATTATCTCGGCCATTTTGGCCGGTGTCTCCGACTGCCTCTACGGCAGCATTCATAGTGTCACTGCGATACTGGAGAAGACTCGAGATTGCATTTATAGGAACAACTAACGAACTCAAACGCCGGCCAATTACACTCGACACACTGTCTCAAAAACTGCTGATACTTGGGGAACACCCCCCCCTCCCCCCCAATATAGTTGAGCGCCTCCCTCCGCTTCCCAGGCACATTCCACCCATATACCAGCTCGTCTTATTATGCGACGGTAACGTCCGATAACACGCCTCATCCGTAAGACGCGCCCACTCGAGCTCACTCTCCGGCCTTACGTTGACGGTCGACAATCCGTGCTCGCCCATATGCACCATCGTCTGGATAATCCAATCGGCCTGTATCTCCGAGATAAGCGGCCCGTTCGCGAACGCCGTGGGGCTCTGTGGAGCGTAGAGGAAGAAGAGGTTTGGGAAGCCTGAGGTTGCCATTCCGAGGTATGTTCGTGCGCCCATGGCCCATTCGCCGTTTAGGGTCTGGCCGTGTGTGCCGTCGATGTTCACACGAGCGAAACTTCCGGTGACGGCGTCGAAGCCCGTTGCGAGGATCAGCGCGTCGAGTTCGATCACTCTCCCATCCTGGAACTCGATTCCGTTTGAGACTACCCGTGAAATGGGATTCTTCTTTAGCGCGACAAGCTCGACGTTCTCCTGCCCAGGCACCTCGTAGAACTTCTGCTCAAGCGACGGCCTCTTCGTCCTAAATGGATACGGCGGGTCCCACGGCGCAAGATTCTCAATGAGCTCGGGATCATCTGCCGGAAGCCGTGCCTGCACCTTGTCCCGCCAGAACGCGTAGAAGAGATGGTTCGACGCCAGATCCGTCATGAAATGCGCGTAATTCCCATGCGCAGGGGCAAACCCGCCCATCGCCCACAGCTTCTCGTAGACCGCGAGTCGCTGCTCGGGCGTATTGTCTGATGCGTTCCGCTCGATGCACGGGTAATCAGATCCCGTTTGCGAGAGGTGCATGGCTGCGAATTTGTCGCGGTAGTTCGATTTATCAAGGGGAACCTCGAGGGCTCGTTGGCGCATGGGCAGAGCGCAGTTGGGAGACCGTTGCAGGACGACCATTGATCCCACCTGTGGACCGAGCTCTTGGATGATTTGCACGCCCGTTGCACCGGTGCCCATCACACCAGCGCGCTTCCCTGTGAAGTCGACGTGCGTCTTTGGCCACTCGGCCGTATGTCACATGATGCCCTTAAAGGTTTCCAGCCCCTCAATCTCTGGAACAAACTTCTTCGCGGCAAATCCCATCGCCGGTAAGAGGTACCTCGCCTCAGCAACACTCTCCACCCCATCTCTGATCCTTGTAACCACACTCCAAATCCCCCGGATATTATCCCACCTCGCATCCGTCACCCTTGTTCCAAAACTAATATCCTTACTCAAGCCCCACTTGCTATCCACAAACTCAAAATACCGCACGATCTCCTCTTGCCCCGGGTAGAGCTGCGACCATTCCCACTCAGACCAGATCTCCGGGTCCGAGAACTCGTAGAAGGGCACGGGCGTGTCGACACTTGCGCTGGGATACCGGTTGTGCCACCAGACGCCGCCGAGGCCATGGCCTTCTTCGAAGGCGTGCACGGTAGGGAAACCGGACCCTACTCCGGAGTTGAGTATCTCGGCCTTGGTGGCTTCTCAAGCTTTAACATAATAGGGTTAGAGCCAAGCGGCTGCCAAAAATAAATTTGCCTTTGCAAACTTGCGCTGGTACACAAATTCAAGTTGGGGAGCGGCATGAATTCATGTTTTGTGATTCAAGTTTTACGAAGTTCCTTCAAAGGAGTGATTAAAGATAAATCCAATTATAATTTATAATTTATAAGGTTACCCCATTACTTGGGGAAGTAAAGCAACCGGAGGAATTCCCAATCATACGCCAAACCCATCCAGCGGCCAAGCCAGACAATGCGAATCTAGGGAATTCGCAAGGTCAATCAATTGGCCTGGGCTAAGTTCAAAATGCGCCCCGAAGCCAGTTTCTACTCCGAAATCTATTTGCTCGTTTGGGCCGGCTGAAGAGATAAGGGGATCCATTTCTAGACTGCGCCCAGGTGCCGGGCCGGATAGGGCGGTTGTAGCTGTGGAGAGGGGCATAGAGACCAGTTGAGCGAGCTCCTCGTCTAGACGTTGCAGTTCGCACTTCATGAGCCCTAAAACCCTGGAGAGGCCCCCTAATACGAAAAACTCTAAGGCGCCAACGGCCTATTTCAAGCTCAAGTGGACTAATATCAAAGAGGAAGAAAATCACTCATGCCGAGATGGTACCAATTGGATTACACGAACAAATCTGATCGAAATAACCAGTGAGGAACTGGCTACTTCAGAGTCACGGTGGCCTGGGAGAAACAGGAGGCACGTTACAATAACTGGGAGAAAGAATTACCTATTGGAACTCCAAGTCGCTCGCCCACGCCGTGTCCACTGGACGTCTGGCAAAGAGCAAAGCGGGAAAGGAGCTGTCCCGTAAGAGGACAATCTAGGGACATGATGCAGCGAGAGGCTTTAGCCGGAAGGACTATGTGGAAAGGATGACCAACAGCATGGCCTTGGATAAGACAGATATGCCTGCACGCGTGAAAGCAGTAGCCTTGATTGAAGCCGAGTATACGGTCTATAAGGGCCATTTCTTAGTGAACAGAGGCGTGGAGGTGGACTAAGTAGATAGCATTGACTGGGTTAATATTGCTGGTGATGTGCTCTCTAAGATTGGCTGGATGGTCTGTTTGGTATTAGGCTTTCTGTTTAGAAGAAGATTGATGGCCGAGGAAGAATGAGAAGAAGATTGATACATTCGTTCTTCTGTTTTAGATGATAGCTTGCTGGATTATGAGTAATCTGAAATTGAGATGTTTACAGTACTACAGTGGAAAGATAGTCTAGTCATACTAGATTCTGTGGCATGAGGTTTTTCTGGAATATGCTTAGCTATTGTACCGGTAATAAGTCAGTTTGAGAATTGTTCTGCTCATCATCTTGCTTGATGGAAATGAAATCCCATGTACATTATAAGCATCGGTCCTTGTTCGATGAACCCGGATAGACTATTCTCTTTGTTTGGCTATCTTTTGTTGCCAAATCCCTCGATTAGCTCTAACATGGCATACTATAGTACTCGTTAGTATCTAATTGAGACTCCACTACCGACCCTTCCAAGCGTTGTGCACCTCGCCTCTGCCCTTAATAGCATACGCTTTTTACGCTCTTTACGTCCGGTCTGATAACGCCCGACCATAACGCCCGACCACTTTGGACTTCTGCTCCGCTCCTTCCAAGCTCACAGGTGACTGAACCACGAGCCTACGCCCAGTTTAGACCTAAGCGCCGGGCGAATCACACGAGAGCGGCTTCACACTTGGTCGCTCGTGCACCCTGGGGTGTATGTCCTAGCTCATACTATAATCCTGATGTAACATATTGGTATACAAATGAAGGATACGGAAGGTTAGTCTGATACCAAGTATAATACGCATGCATGTTACCGGAAAATCTTTAGGATACCATAACCAAACTGGGCATTGCCTGCCAAGATAGCGGGAAAAAGTAGCACCAGGTTTCAGCTTTCCTTAGTAATGTACACAGTATTACTTAGGCAAATAAGTGATCATTGTTCGGAGACACAAATCGCGAGAGTTCCATGCGTCTGCATAGCAATGCGTCAAACATACATTACTCAAACTGAAAAAGAAGACGCCGTTGGTTGGTGCCTATACTTGACATCGGCTGAGACTCGTCCCGTTACCACGAATCAAAGGTGTCCTCTCAGATACAGGCGCGGACGTCGAATAAATATCCGCGGTATTGTCATTGGCGGCCGTTTCTTCGACGACTGTGGGCGGCATAGAGGTATAGGGGGGTTTGGAGTTACGGCGGGACTGGAAAAAAACCTGGGGATGCTTGTGTATTATATGCCTCAGTCGCCCCCCTCGGACCCTCCTCATGAATGCAAGTTGATCGCTAATTTCCTTGCGTCCCAGATCTCGACTGTAAAATCGGCTTTTTCTGGAAGCGTCTAGCCGAGAACGTTTCATGCGGGGCCAGATATATGAAATAGACTTGGAGATGACTGTATCCGGGATCAGGCGAATCAATCCCCCTACCGGTATGGCAAAAGCTCCAAGCAAAATGCTCACTGCCCACTGGGAGGGCTGGTCAAGTCGCTGCACGGAAAAGGCTTTCCCACCCACGGAGACGATCAAGACCTGCCCGCCGATGATGATGACCTGGATGATAATAAACCACGTATTGCGTAGGATACCCTCCATAATATTTGTCCGATTGTCAATCCGGCGGCAGCTGCCGAGGTCAGTCAGTGAGTAACACTGCCAGGAGGGAAACCTGCTCTTACTTGTACTGATTGAATACCTGCATGAAGACAAAAGTGTTGAACACCACTGTCTGCATACACCTGCTATTCCACTCTGGGAAGATGAAATGTCCATCAAAATACAGGAAGAGCGTCACAGCCAGTTGATAGACGGCTTGACCAACGATCATCTTCCACATTGTCAAGGTTATTAGCGGCGCAGATTTGGGATCAGGTTTGCGATTGAGAACGTAAGACGAAGGAGGATCGGTCGCTATAGCAAGATTAGGCACTCACTTTAAATCCAAAACATAGGAGAGAATATACCAAGTGCAAGAGCAGCGAAGGTGTCCATGATGAGATTGACCCACAACAGCTGCACTGCGCTGAGTACAGAATCCGCATCATTACTGGTAACAGCAGAAATAAATGTAAGAGCGACAGCAGTGACGTTGACGGTTATTTGGAACTGAAAACATGATTAATTTCTGACCTTACAGGCAGTTGATGGTGACTTTACCTGCAGAAATTTTCTGATGGCATCATTCACCGTGCGTCCCCATGCTATCGCTTTGACAATTGATGCGAAATTGTCGTCCATTATGATAATGTCTGACGCCTCCTTAGCAACTTCAGTGCCTGTGATACCCATTGCAAAGCCGACATCAGCCGTCTTAAGTGCCTGCGCGTCATTTGTCCCATCCCCAGTCACGGCGACAGTCTCGCCAAGTCTCTTGAGGTAGCCGACCAACATCTTCTTGTCGTCTGGACTTGACCGCGCGATGACCTGCAGATTTGGGATGAGCTCGTCCATCCGATCATGGCTCAGCTGGCGGAATTCAGGCCCTTCGATAGCGATTCCACCAGGCGTGTAGATGCCGCACTGCTGAGCGATGGCTTTGGCTGTGGTAATACTGTCGCCAGTCACCATCCTGACGAACACTCCAGCGCGCTGACACTGGCGGACTGCGTCAGGGACTCCTTCACGGACAGGGTCCTGGATGCCGAAGATGCCTAGCATCGTCATGTTTTTGAAAACTGGCTCAAAGTCTGCCATTTCGCCGTCACTTTCAAGCGTTGATGTCCCATAAGGCGGCCATCTTTCGAAGTCACGATGCACAAGCGCAATACATCTCAGAGAACGAGACGCATAATCGGTAATAATGGTATCTAGCGCGGCTCTATACTCCCCGGAGAGTGGGACATCCTCCAGACCATTGCTTGCATGCTGTATGACCTGTGACGATTGACGTAGTAAGATCTCTGCAGCACCTTTAACGAGCATCCGATACTTTCCACAATCCATCCGAAAGACTACGGCCATACATTTGCGACTTGAGTCGAACGGAAAGATCTGCACAATATTCACATTCGCTCTCTCCTCGCTCACTGGCCGAAGCCCGAGTTGGTCTCGCGCGAATGACAGAAACGCCGTCTCCGTCTTAGATCCGATAAACGTCGTTACTCCGTCACGCTCAGCCTCGAACGCAGTCGAATTGAGCACGATCGATTGCAATAGATGGTTTCTGATTGATGATGAAAGTCTAGATACAAACTCTGAGGCTGAAAGAATTGCAGGGCCTCGTGTGCTGGCCGCCGTATTGTTCGATTGCTCATCGAATCGTGACATGGTGCCTAGAGTCGCGGCCACGACGCTCATCTTGTTCTCGGTGAGCGTCCCAGTCTTGTCGGAGCAAATGGTCGTGGCATTTCCCATGGTCTCACATGCACGCAGCAAGCGCACGAGGTTGTTGTCCTGGATCATCCTTGTTGTTGCAAAGGCAAGAGCGAGGGTGACAGCCAATGGCAGCCCTTCAGGCACTGCTACGACGACAATGGTGACCGCCACGATGAAAATCCGTAGAAAGGCCTGGCCTTTGGCCTCTGCACCGCCATCAATATCCTTGAGGCGGACCAGAAATTTGATGAATAGCACCACAAACAGTATCAGGCCTGCGGTAAGGCCGACCTTGGCAATATAATCTGCCAGCACATTGAGCTTGACCTGCAGCGGGGTGATCTCGGTCTCATCCTGGAGAGACATCATGGTTCGGCCGTAGGTCGAGTGAATGCCAGTAGCAGTGACCAGGAAAGTCCCCATACCCTCTTCAACCTTGGACCCCGAGACGATAAACGGGTCCAGTCCCTTCAAGTCTTCGTTCTGCTCAACTGCCCGATACGCTTTGTCGCCTGGGATCTTCCGCAGGAGGCTTGACTCTCCTGTGACTGAAGACTCATCACATTTAACTCCATGCCCGTCAATCAGGATCCCATCGGCTGGGATTATATCGCCCGGTTCCAGGCACATCACGTCCCCGACCATGATATCATAGGTCGACAGCTGCGCCATCTTCCCTGATCGGATGACCTTCACATATCGATCCTCTTTCTTTTGGTTAAGCTTCGCGAATTGCCGTTCTTTCTGCCAGTCATTCGCCGCACCGACGGCGACGACTACAACGATGGCGACGACGATCGCTGCTCCCTCCACCCATTCCACCCCCGTTCCTCGCACAGATTGCGGAATACCCACGGCGAGGGAGACGACAGCGGCAATTGATAGCAGGATTAGCACCTTATCATTGTACGCGATCCACACGAGCTCCCAAATTGATTTCAGTTTCTTCTTCGGAAGCTTATTGATTCCGAACACCCTTCGCCGATCCACGAATCTGTCCTGTGGCTGCTTGACTGCCAGTCCTTCTACGCTGGCCAGTTGTGGTGGCATGAAGGATTGTGCAACCACCCCGTCAGTGCCCACCGTGCCATCCAACACTGTCTCATCCATGCTCAAGCCGCTCCGCACATCGGTTCGGAGACCTTTTTCCAACGCTCTTAACCCGCCAAAAGCGCCAAAAGCGCCTACACACTTGGGGCTGATGAGTTTATTGAGCTGGCCCGGTGAGAAGGCGAACTTATTGTTCTCCACTTCCGAGTCGGACTCCCCGCTAGGTTCCGGTCCGAGAGAGTCACCATCACCGTGATTGTCTCCATCGAGATGGCTACGAGACGACGTGCGCACAATGGTGTCTCCATGGTTACTCGATGCTGGCATGTTGTTCTCTGGATGTGCTGACTGACCACGAGGTGGTGTTGAGGGCACAGAAAGAAAGGGAGGACGGGGATCGGTTATGGTAATTTTACTTTCCCGTTAAAAATGTTCGTGTGGTGACAAAAGTCATATGCCCAATGTTGATAGGACTCACAGGTATGAATCCCTAGCGTAACTTTTTCTATAATCCAAGACCTTTCCTCAATGCATCTTGTGATTTAAGCTGAAAAGAAGTAAACGGTAAAGAAGATTGAGGAGTTAACAAGATCCCGAAGGATTTAATATGGCCGGGGGGTTGCACACTTATCAGATTTGCCCCCGTTTGACTCGCTGCATCTGTTTCCTTGGAAACGCTTCATATGGTACTACAACTTTAAAAGCGAACTACGAGCGCTAACGCGAAATGGGCTCTAGATTGCGATGATATAGAGTTTCCCTTTTTTGCCCTTTCTTCTTTTCCTTTCTCGTTGGATATAATGTGTAGCAAATGAAAATGAAAAGGTGTTCTACTATGTCATGAGATAAGGACGGGTCATAATGACATAAGACATGGTGGCGCTCCACTACACCCCTCCTTATTCTCTGCTTTCATTTGGTCTCGCCTCATCTCTGCGAGTTCAAATGCTTAGCTGTCCGTTGTGTACTCTCCATGGGTTTCCAGTTACTGTTCATTTAAGAGGGGCAACTGACAAATATAATTAAAGCGAACGGAGGGTTTCAGAGTGACCTGAGAGAATACACGGCAATACACGACAATACACGAGAATCTCGGGTTCTCCACACCACTACTACATTTGACTAGAGACGTTGTTATAATGATCTGAAGATTTTATTTCTGTTCAAAAGGAAAAAACCATTATAATATTCTAATTGTCCACCTGCGGTTGAATGGCAGATATGTAATTTTCATCAGTATGTGTCCTATCCTGAAATGATCTAGATATATGCTCTTTTATCAGTAAAATGCAGGGGTTTATTAGCAAGAGAATGTCAACTATTACTTGAAACTTCAATCTGCCTATATATAAACTTTAAAGGACACATTATAAAGCCAACAGGGCTATGCTTGAGCACGAATTCAGAATGTCTAATGATAGTAGAGCTATCCCAATAAGGTTATGTTAGGGTAAAATCCTGAAGGAGTTCGGTTAGAAGTCTCTTTACTTGATTCCAACAGAATTTGCAGATCTTATAGGGATAATCATTTTTATAATAATACTATAACCTTGGTGGTTTCGGCATTAGGTTAGACTGTGCCCAACTACTGGTGATAGAGGGGATGTTGTGTGGCAGTATATCAAGCTACAAAGTATGAAAGATTATGAAGCTTGGCGGCGGAGGATGTTCATAAACTGTCATACAGATAATGAGGCCGAATTTCTGGAGGATGGTTACTTGGCAGCCGTAAATTTTTATTTATGTCGTTTGCTGCCCAATATTTCGTAATTCTTTTCACTTGTAGTATCGGTCATCTGGATGCCTGATCAAGGCGTTTATACTTACGTCTGTCATTTTCCAACGTAATAGTTTAATTATTTGCATTGGCATATTTACAAATAGGAAATTTGTAAACAACCTTCATCAAAAGGAGGAACAAACTAACCAATGGAAAAGGGTGGTCATAAGATGCATATAAGCGTCCGTTCAATCTATAGCAATTGTAACGAATGTTTGGACAGGTCAACAGCAAGGAATATGTGTACCGCATAACAACTGGTATCATTGTTGCGTGTGAGGGATAATCACCTGAGTCTAATACTAGAGACCGGCAAGCCATCTATATAAAGAGCCTGGGTTCCTTCAAAGTTTGATCCTGCTTTTCTCCCAAACCTCTGCTTTTATAGCTCTCGCTGTTTCACTCTTCAGAGCACTTTCAATAAGCCTCTTTTTCCGGACCATGGCAAATGAAGCGGGAAGTACAAATTACCTGAGGCAAATGGCTTGAGAACAGCCTGGCTTTTCTGGAGAGGGATGGATTACTAAAAATACTGTGTGGGTGCTCTCTTCCTCGGTTAGGTCCATTAAATCATCATATGTTATATTCGACGGGAAAGAGTACCTTCCATAGCCTTACCTGGTAAATTATTTCGAGTTTCTATCAACCGATAAAGCCGTCAAGGCCAAGTATATGTGCTAATTTATCAACGTATAACGCAAATTTTCGTTAACAAATGGTAGCGTAGCTAAGCTTACTTTTGATGCCATAGCTGCCTGCGTACTAGTGTTGGCATTCCATTATCTCCACTTAATCTCATGGTTTCGCGGCCTGAAGAGCCCGATGGACCTCTTGTTCAGTGAGGAGTACGCAGAATCTCATCTATATTCCATATCGCCTGGAGTTTCTCAGGTCAATAGATATTGTACCCTGGTGAGAGCAACCTTCTGATACTTTTCCTGGCTCTTTGTTTTACTGGTGCTATGAACAGGTAGAATGGTGAGATATATATCATAAGTGATCTAAGACAGATTCCATTGATGCTTGCTGTTTAGATACCGCGGTAGAATGAGCTTCTACTGTCCTTCCGCTTTATCTATATATTCATATAGATGCGGGCAAGCAGGATATAAAGTATTGATATATTGTAATACAGAAGTAACAGCTGATTCTTATTTTTTTCTACTTTACTGGCAAATAAATCTTTAAGTTAAACTAAAGGCAAGACTGGTGCTTGTAAAAGCTCTAAATATTTATTTAATTATCTTGGACTCATTTATTCTTTATTAATTAGTATTTTACTCCCGGCCTCCAGCTCAGCAACACATGAATATAACTATAAAAGCTTAGTTTGCAAAACTTGTTATTATATATATAATTATATTTATCTGTCAGTATATACCATGGTAAATATAGTAAGTATGAGGTTGAGGAAGGAGAGCATGTAATATTATATTAATATGATTAGGTATCCAAAATAAATATATATTATTCAGAAAGGAAAGAGATTCGGCTTAGTATTAGAGAATATGAATTAACTATTATTTCAATATTACTTAGTACTTTATATCTAACAGTGACGGAACTGTATATAGAAATAATATTCACTATAGATCCAATAGCAAAACCCAGTAGGCTGGAATGGTTTTAGAAGATATCAGCCTAAAGTAACCAGAATAAGAGTTGTATAGTATATACACGGGTTAATGTACTTCTTTCTAAAGAGATATATCTCAGATAATATATAGGCGACAGTGATGAAGCCTTTACATGTGAAATGAAACTCGTATTAAAAGAACATTAATAGAAAAGCCCTCGGAATACACGTTCCAGGAGTTGTAACAGATCAAGTAAAAAGAGCTATGGTAGGTATGCCACCCGAGAGAAGGTTCTCAATTTTACTGCATAGAATAGTACCGGGCAAAACCCAATATGTGCCCAACCTAACTACGTCAGACAGTCGACCGCGTATCCACAAGGACCAAAAGAGAAATGAGAATAGTAACTCCCCCCCATTCTAATGTGGACACTCAGATTTCAAATTTCCGGCTTCCAAGTTTGCTCCCCATATGAGGAACTCTAGCCACCTAATCCCACATCATTTCCTTAGGCGTCATAAATCTATGGCCAGTTTCATGTTCCCGTGGCGATTCGTGGTGCATAACCGGTAGAATACGGGTAGGAACCCTTTGATAACACAGCTACACCATTATACTGACTCATGAGGCGGCGCTTAATCTTCCATTACAACCTTGTCACTAAAAATAACACAGTTATATATTGAGCTTAACACAGTTTATTAAAATCAGTGTGGTTTGAAATTATTATATGACTATCAGATTGAAGTAGATTCTTCAGTATTTCTTTACAGCTAAACTATTATTAGTTATCTTAGCTGATTATAATGCCTTGCCGCGTACCACTTATACTGCAAATCAGTGTAAATATGATATTAATAACAGTCCGGGAAGACATACCTTACCAAGAACTTCTTGCTGTTATCAGAAAATATATTGACTTAAGCAAAGATGTCTATAAACAGAGTCTGATAGATTTCTTAGTACTTTGGGAATAAACCAACTTGACTAGCTTATTTCCTGAGTAAATACTAGTTAATCAGGAAAATCTACAGTCTACATTAGAATTAATAGTATTGAGACAAGGAAAAGATGTCTTGGAGGTGGACCGCAAATTTGAGTATACCTTTTTGACTAGGGCTTTTGGATAAATGGAACTATGTTTGATAGTGGGTTGATATAATATAGACAAATTCATACCAGGTTCATTAACACCTTTGAACCCACCGCTTGGCGCCGTCGAATAAAAAAACCGGTCTCTGCTGAAGTGCTCGACCGCTTTATTCACTGCTAGGGCCCTCATATCCCTCGTCATCTTCTCCCTCAACCCTAGTTAATTCCCTCAGGGCTTCAGAGCTATCCCTTCTTCCCAAAATGGACCATCCAACACAACCCATACACTCAGAAAGTGTGACTAGTACTATGTGTGCTCAAAAGTTCGGACAATCTTCATGTACGTTAGTTTAATGCTTAGCGTAACGGTTAGCCATGGCTTTTATAATGACGTTCGACTTCTTCCGATTTGGATTTCCGGTCTAATTGCACCCTTGGTATTAGGCCCTTAACACAGTGCATTATGAGGCTGTAGAATTCATCATTTGGTTACTTCTACTTGCCCCAGTGGAGGACCTGGCGAGTTCTGAGATCTTAGATAGATCATCAACAGCCCATCAATAATACGATTCGGTGATAGCCAACAAACAAGAGCTGGGTTTCTTATAATTACAATTGCCGTTCTAAATCTCCTGGGTTTTATCCCTTAGCGGTTCTGTACCATCATGTCTACGACTACTTGTCTTCAGCGCCAGACTATTAGAATTGTTGTAGGGGGAATGGCTATTCTTGCGGCGCAGGCGATATCGTGCTGGTGGTAGCGATCAATCACGATACCTGTTGGCGCGCTCAGACAAGACTGATTCGGGATACGCTTTGCATGACGATATATGAAACATTTGCGCAATCCTGTGCTTAGCTGCTGGTGCGCAGAATAT